CACCCTCCCAGCCACGGCTGGAGTCACGCTCTGCTCTGGGCCTGGTCCCTGCTTCTCCGGCCCGGGGCCTTCTGCAGGCGGCAGGCCAACCTCTGGGCCACCGCTGGTCCCTGCAGGGGTTCAGCTGCCACCCCACCATGGGCCGCAGGGGAACCTTTGCACTGTCACACCTCCCCCTCTTCTTCCTCCCCGACCTTTGTGTCCACGTGGTTGTCCCTCTCCCATTCTCACTTCAATAAGCTGAATGATGATTTTTTCTATTTCTCTCTGAAGAGATTTTTCTTCTGTTATCTGTGAAGTCCCCAGGTTTTTCATTCTACTGGCAGGCAAGGCCACCTGCACAGAGAGGTGTGCTGTCTTGTTTGTGGTATAGTCACTGCTGGGTGAAAGCTATGTTAATGAAAAAAAATACATAACTTCTGTAATATTCTCAAAGATACCTCAACAATTGAAGCAGCTGTGCTTGAGAAGATGGCTTCCCTCATTTTACTGTCGTCTGACCCTGAATGTTCTGAGTTGGAGACAAAAATATCCACATTAAGAATGCTTTTGTGCATTGATCTGATTCCTTTCACAAGGCTGGTCTGTCCATAACCTTCTTGAGGAACTGGAATGGCATTCTTAATTTGCCATATTTCAAGGACTGTAGCTGCTTGGGATCAAGAGATAGCTTTGGAAATTGTAGTGTTGTGTTTAGGCCTGGCTATTTATGTGGTGATTACAGGTGGTTTGGGTTTTGTTTGTTTGTTTCTGTGGGGTTTTTTTGGAAAAATGGATAGTGGAAAATTGGGCTCTGTACTGTTGTAAATTAAATGAATCTCAACTGGTGTAGCTACTTAACTTAAAGACCCTTTGCTTCCCTTTCCTAGAATCATAGAATCATTAAGGTTGGAAAAGACCTCTAAGATCATCAAGTCCAACCATCAACCCAACACCACCATGCCCACTAAACCATGTCCCAAAGTGCCACATCTACATATTTTTTGAACACCACCATGGATGGTGATGCCACCATTTCCCTGGGCAGTCTGTTCCAATGCTTCACCACTCTTTCAGTGAAGAAATTTTTCCTGGTGTCCAACCTAAACC